ACAACCCCCCCCCCCCCCCCCCCGAGTTTCTTCGGTTTTACCCTGTTACTATTATTCCACCGCTGCTCCATATTCACTCATGTATCATCTGAGGAATGGGCAGTGGGCCATTAGTGGCCGCGATTCCACACGGACGGTCTCCCCCAGAAAGTGGATTTTAAAGAAACAAGATATCAGGGTGTAGACTAAAATTATTACTATAAGAACCAGTGGCGGGCTTTGTGAGCTTAGTAATGAACCTTTGGGTATAAAATAAGACGAGGAATTTCTTGAGTCTTAGCGATTATTAGCTTCTCAAGATAGACTCTGCTCCAAGGAGTCAGTTGCCTTTCATCAAATAGTCGAGATATACCGTAAAGTAGGTCATAACTACCACCTTCTGTATCTTTTCCAATTCATGAATTAATTAATCATCCTGTCAGCTGAGCTAGTAACAGTGTTGTTAAATAGATAACAAATAAATAAACAACCAGAAACGAATACGAATTTAAACGTTCACATTATCGTAAAAATTGCTTGTGGCGGTATCGTTAGCTCGCCACACAATTGTTTAACCTACTCGCAAGTGTTTTATGGAAAAAAATTTGTGTCACAATTAAATATAATACAATAAGTTTGTTCAAAGAAAAATTACCCAACTTCAGTTATTTATTTTCACAATTAACAAACTTGCTGTGTGTCATGCTTGTTTGCTTCACGATACGTCACTACTTTGAGGATGTGTTTGCAGATAACCTATGTGCATATTTTGTCAAATTCATGTTTTTTGCCAGACCTCGTTACCCAAATGTTAAAATATGTTATTTGGTGAGACGCTTCAGAAATTGTTTGTGATAAAAGACTATTAGAAACTTCAGGGTAACAGATATTGATTTAAACACTTTTATGAGTATAGGCTACCTACGTCCGTCATGCGCAGTGACACAATCATTTGTCTCCTAATGGCGGAACATTTGTAAGCGTTTTTATCCACTCAAAGCAGAATCTACCATGTTCCTTACCATCGTATGATAATTAACGACGCTTTATCAACAGCAGATTTTTCGTCGAGTGAAAGAAGAACAGAAAATAATGTGTCAATAATTTGTTATGGGTTATTTCAAAATACTATACCGCCATTCGCTTAGAAGTACCAAAACAAAACCACACAACTCCTCTAGATAATCAATAATCAATCCGAGATTCGAGTCAGGTACTGCCGGAGTAGATAGGCCTTACACAAAGAGTTACAGTTTTACCAAACTGCTTAGTTTGGGCTTACTGTTTCATTTCCTGTAATTTCCTGGCGAGACTTAGTAAAACTGTGAAAAATCTCTGATAATCTAGACGGCCCAGACGAAATTTGAGCCAAATACGTCCGAAATATATGTCAATATTTCTACACTGAACTAACTTTATATTTGAACATTTACAGTTCTCCTCTGACAAATAATTTTCATTCAAATTTAGTTTAGTCCCGAGCTTGCGAAGGTCGCAGTTTCCCAACTCCCTAGTGTTACAGAGGATTGAATAACATGAGCCCGAAATGTAATTTATCTTATCAGGCTTACTGCACGAATGTCATGAATGCTTAATTTCTCTAGAGAAATCGATCTGACTCCATTGTGAATGTTATGCATCGAACCTGTAAATTATAGAAGTTATGAAACGCGTAGTATTCATACACACCAGTAATTACTAACTTTCGACCAGAGCCCGTGTAATGATCGTCAGTTACTAACAGCCCCCCCCCCCAAATTCCATAGACAAATAGAAGTAAAGCAGAAATTTCAACACAAATTAGAAGGAAAACAGTAAGACATGAAAAACAGTATATGTGCATCTGCATGCAAACATTCAGAATGGGATTATTCATGAGCGCAAATTATTGCAGGAAAAAAGTAATGTTTATAACCCGTGGCCAAATTGCATCTTTTGTGAAGAATTAAATTACAGTTCTTAGTCACCGAATTAATTGTTTCAAAACATGCTCATGGTCAGACTTCCTAAGAATAAGCACTTTTACCCTAATAGTAACAATAACGGTTAAATCAACAGAAAATATGCATTTATACTCCACACCCGATTTTGTTTATTGCTACACGCAGTTTCTTTCAGACGACAGACAATTATAGGCCATTGGTAATTCAAAATATGATAATGTTATTTATAAAAAAATATTCAACAGGAAAGCAACGGGAAACTACCTCAAGATTTTCTTTCCCAAGAAAACCCATCATGGATTTGTCCGCATTTAAATGTGGAATGTGTTTAATGATGGGTCACCGACTTTCAACATTGAAAGCCGGACTCATGATGATTATTCAACAGTACAGAACTTTTCAAAACCCCGGGGAGCTCTCTCTCTCTCTCTTTCTCTCTCTCTCTCTCTCTCTCTCTCTCTCTCTCTCTCTCTCTCTCTCTCTCTCTCTCTCTCTCTCTCTCTCTCTCTCTGATCTAAGTTCTGAGCGACACAGTTTTGAGAATTTCCTAATCACAAGATTGTACATTACTGTAACTCAATTACTGAACGTAGGACTCAAACGAAGGGCACGTCATTTAAGTTCCCTTTTAAGGGGGGAGGGTCGCTCTTTTAAGGGACATTCCCAGGCTGATCCCAGTGTCAAGTGATACGTATTATACTAATTGTAACGAAAGCCTTCATGCTTTTATTGGTATTTCCAGTCCTTTTGAGAAATTAATCAAATACATTTCCGCTGTGTGGCGTAATGCTGACTGCCGGCGACATCTAAGAATAGCGTACGAGATTTGGCAGTCTTTGGATTAAGTTGGTTTTATATATATATATATAATACTACCGCTGTTCAGTCGCGGTGACATCTGGGGCAAACAACAATAAATCCCTTAATTTAACTGCGTAACAAGATGAGAGTGGTGGAGCGAACATGTTCTGATATTAATTATTTTGCACCTAATAGTAGTCCTCTAATTAAGCAGAAGACGACAGTCACTAAATCTTGGTTGTAACACTAAATGGATGTTTCATTCGTTTTTACACGTAAAATAGGTCAGGAAGGAATATTTCAGTAGCTATATTCTTGAACTAACGTTTATGTATATACGAGGGTATATGACTGAACAAAGGGATAGAGGATGGTTTTCGCGGATGTCAAACGTCTCTGCATGTACGCATATTTCTTCCTGTTTTATTAGAGATTAGAATTTGTGATATGCAAAGTGGCACTGAGACAGGCTTTTCTCCGAGTTAATATCATTCCACCGCTGGTCCGCATTCATTCATATACCTGGGGTATGGACAAGGGGTCCGTTAGAAGCCCGGTTCCATACATACATACATACGTCGTCTCAGCCTATAGCAAACATTCCAGTCCTTTGGGATGGAACAGCGTTAATGTTCGTGGAAGCCGAGATGTCAAGGTGACCACTCAGTCGACCACTGGCCTTTCCGTTGGTTCATGTGTAGGCGTAGTTTGTATTAGTATAAAAAGGCATGATTCACAAGGCTTAATAAATCACACGACAAACATAAAGAAACATCCCACTTTACATTCATGGAAATGATGTAAAACTGGACCACACTGGATTAAACTGGAACTCATCTGTAACCCCGAATTTCATCAACATCTATTTTAATAAGCTTAATTTGTTTCAATTATATGCAGTCCTCTGACTTTCTACAACATGCACGAGCACGAGGTTACAACTCTTTCGAAAACATATTACATAACTAACCTAAACTAACCAGTCAACTAAAATAAACCGAACTATACCATACTAAACTAACCAACGAACTCTTTGAGACAGAGGCCTTTTTGAGAAGCTGATAGTCGTTCAGCTAGTAAGAAAATCTCCATATTTAATGGAATCCGAAATCTTTTTCGTGTTACCAAAATCTCGTCCCTAGTCCCTATCCACTGCACAACCTCTCACACTGTTTTTCTAAGCTCCTTTTTTAAAACTGTTACAATATTTTATGTACACCCTGTATATCAGTAGAGTAGTCTACATGAAATGTAAATAAGGTGCA